AGATCGCGCTGCAGAAGCAGCGTCAGGCCGAGGAGACGGCGGCCTTCGAGGAGGTGATGATGGACATCGGCTCCACCCGGGTAAGGGGCCGCGCCGGGGAGCGGGAGCGGAGCTCAGTAGTTACCGACCCAGGAGCCGAGAGGCGGGGCGGGGGCGGGAGCCGGGGCGAAAGAGGCGGAACGCGGCAGGGGCAGCGGCCGCAGCCGTCTGGGAGGCGCGGGTGGAGGGCCGAGGGGCAGGAAGACGGATTTTGCGGGAGGAGGTCGAAAATACCAGAGAGGTTGAGGGTTTGGGAACGACTTGGGACCGAGTAAGTGAGGCGAGAGTGAGCAGAGAGAGAAGGTAGTCCCCGAAGCCCGGCGGAGGTAGGAGGTGGGTGGTCCTTGTGCATCCCTGATTGAGTTCTCCCCGGGATTCTACCGAAGCATCTCCGATGTTGGGTTATGGGGTGGAGAGATGGCCTCTTTGCCCTCGTCTGGCTCCTCTGTGTTGATGATCTCCTCTAACCTGGTTCCTCTGTCCTGTTGTGCTACTCTCGGCACTTCACTATCTCCGGGAAAGGGCCCCTTGAGTGGTTTGAACGGCAACGCTGGGTATGGGGCAGGAAGTCCCCTCCTGCGTCCCGTCCCTTTGCTTCCTTTTTCAAATACTTCTTGTGGTTTCCTGACGTGAATGAAGGTGAGATCCATTGCTCACAGACTGGTGCTTGGTGTTTTGCCCTGGTCGCCTTGGAGAAAAGATAGGGCTTTGAATCGCAAAAGAGGGTAACCAGTTGGCTATAGGTTGTGTAGAACCTGATGGTTTACTGAACTTATTAGAGAGATAGCTGCTTTGTGGGTCCCTTATGGGGTGCCTTAGAGGGTCTTATAAGTGTAGGAAATATTCATTCCTGAGAAGTTTCAGGGAAAAAGTCCTGGCAAAGTTGCCTCTGAAGCCCCTCTAAGCCTTGATTTCTTGCTTCCCAGGACTGGATGTCAGAGTGAGGAGTGGGAAGTCATCCAGCTGGTATGCAGTCCTAATTTAGGGACACATTATTCTCGAAACAGCAGGTGAAGATATTGCAGTGATCCCTCATGTCAGGGAGCTAGCTAGGAGGAATTTAAGGAGAGATGATGGAACATAAATACCACATTTCAAAGCGCTGCTGCGTTTCATTGACCTTGTCTATGACTGGGACTCTGGTTGTATTTTTGTGTGTGTCTCCCTTAACTCTGTTAGTCTTTTTTGTGTTTTTTACCCCTTTGAGTCTCTAGAGACCATGTGTCCTAGTTTGCGGGAGTCAGAACAGAGAAAGTTAGGTGGGGAAGCAAATCCTGTGTGTGTGTACGCACACGCACATAACTCCCTCTCACTGCCATGAGGATCATGATCTGACTGTTCACTGCTCCTCTTTTAGGAACTTTTGATCATGGTTGGGGCAGAGGCAAGAAGGTAGGCAAGTTGCTGACCTCCAGCTGGCAGCTTGAGGCCATGCCTTCTGGACTGTGACTCCAGCGGAGGCACAGTTGGACCTTGGGGCTTGTATGTTACAAAGAAAGGCTCAAAAGTTGGGCATTCTATCTTTGTGATGCCTTGGTCTTTCAAAAGATCCCCTCCACCCACCTTGCCCCTACTGGGTTACTTCTCTTCTGCACATAAAAATCTCATGGGCATACGTGGTCAGGGCTTGGGGACTCAAGAGTCTAAGGCTAGAGATTGGAGACCTTGGGGCCCAGCCTGTTATCCGGCCATCTGGGAGGGCTCATCTGAGGCAGGTGTGGCCTTTGGGGCCTGTACTGCTAAGAGGCTGGGGTTGTCATATGTAGTAGTAGCAGTCCTGAAGTGGCCCAAAGGTTAGCATAGTGCCCACCAGACTCACTGGGCTGACCTTTTGGAACAGAAAGTCAGTTCTGATGTCAGTCCAGGCACAACAGTGTGCTCTTAGAACTTACCACTCACCAGCTGCCCTGGGTCTGCTTATTTGGCTGTTGGCAGTGGCTGAGCCTCAGAATTAGGTGCTCACCTCTCACAGAGGGACACGGGATCTGTAGGAAGACTGAAACTGTGCCAGGCTGAGGGTGGTGGTGTCTTACTCCAGTGCTGCACATGTCTCCCCAAAGCGGGGATGAGGCCAAGGAGATGGCTCTGGGCCAGGCTGGAGTGGGCTACCATGCCTTTTCTCACCCCCATTGTCCAGGCTCCCCTGCCAATTCAGGGGCTTTAGGACCAGGTAGAAGAATGCTTCTTGGTTTGGGCACTGTTTTTTCAGCTAGGAGAGCCATCATTCCTTATTTGTAGAGTTTGTGAGGTGCAGGCTCTTTGTAGCCTTCCTGAGGCTGGGCAAACGGCAGAGCTGGGAAGCCTGTGCCTGCCCTCCAGAGTGGGAGGGAAAGAGGCTGGCAGTAATGGCTCCATGGCATCCACCTGTGGCCCTCCGCTTGTCTTCCAATTAGTCCTGGACACATCTGGAAGGGAAAGCAGAGGTGCCTAATAGGCACCCTTCCCCAGGAGTTAGCTCATGTGACTAGCCTGGGGGCACCTGGCCACCCCGCAGGGACTCTGTTTAGACTGATGCCAACTGGAACAGGCCCTGAGCAGAGTGTCAGGCTCCGCCTGGCAGAGTGATGCCAAAAATTAGTGATAGCACCAATGAGGGTAGTGTGCGGAGGAGCCAGGGCAGTGTTTGCACCAGGTCTCAGTGGACCTGCCCCTGGCGCTGGTCTTTCTTCTGGTAGATCTCTTAAAAGCCACAGCAGTAGTAGCATGTCCTGGAGACAGGGATGGCCAGGGTGGCCACAGGAACAGTGCTCAAGACCCTCCCTGACACTCCCATCTGTCCTCCATGTCTCAGTTACAGGCCCAAAAACTGCGATTGGCGTACACAAGAAGCTCCCACTATGGTGGCTCTCTGCCCAACGTGAACCAGATTGGCTGTGGCCTGGCTGAGTTCCAGGTGAGTGGACACCAGCCTGGGAGAACACAGGCTCTCAGGCAGCTTCCCCCTGTTGACTCACCTGTCTCTTTTGGCAGAGCCCCCTCCACTCACCCTTGGATTCATCTCGGAGCACTCGGCACCACGGGCTGGTGGAACGGGTGCAGCGAGATCCCCGAAGAATGGTGTCCCCACTTCGCCGCTACCCCCGCCACATATCCTTCACAGGGGTCTGGGGAGTCTGGAGGGCAGTGGGATGGTGTTCCTCAGGAACTCGTGGTAGGGAGGGACCTGAAGCACTGTCCAGACCCATCCTCCAGAAGTTCTTCTTTACCCAGCCTCCCTGAAAAGTGATGTCTGGCCCAAGTGCTGGCGCCGGCTCCTGAGGCTGTGCCCTCCGTCTCTGGCTGGCGCTGACTGTCCTGACTTCAGCTTGCTCTTTGCTGGTAGAGGCAGGGCTCCCTGATATGTCTCCTGCTAAAGGAGGTTTGCGTCCCTCTTCCTTACATTTCTGTTCTTAGCTTTCAATCTGAGACCTCCACAGACCTCTCTCCCCCAAGCCCTGCCCAGATATTCTCCTATATTTTGCTGACTCCACTAGGCCTGATTCCCTTTTTCTCTTCCATTCTTTGCCTGTTCTGTTGCTCCTTGTAGAGGAGGAGAAAGGTGTTTGTTTCTTCAAACAACTCATCTGCTGCCTCCACTACTTTTATCTGGTCTCCCTCCCATCCATCCCCTCCTCACTCTCTTCCTTAACTGATGCTCTTCACATTGACAGCTCTCCATACAGTCCTGCCTACTTGTCTCCTCCCCCAGAGTCCAGCTGGCGGAGGTCAGTGTCTAGGGCAGACAGGATCTCCTGCCCACTCTCTGACTTGTCTCTGGCAGGAGCTTGGGTTGGGTCTGAGCCTGTGGGCTAGGCTTCCAGCAGTATTTCCTCGCATAATGGCAGGGCTGGGAGGGGTGGGGGTAGGTGGAGTAGGTGGGTCAGAGTCCGGTCTTGGCCATGTTGACACGGGTGGCCAAGCCTCCCAGTCCAACCAGAGCAGGACCAATGGTAGCTGGGGTGTGTGTGTGAGGGGGAGGGGAGAATGGCAAGGTGGCAGGTGAAAATGGCTGTCTCCTGTCAAGAGCGGGTGTCAGACGTAGTATTCTGGCATGTAGGTTTCTGAACCCTGTCTCTGTCCATCTCATCCCTAATGCTCATACCCAGCAGAGCTGCTGAGCTCCAAGATTCCTATTTAGCTTGTCCTGGCAGATAGAAGTTGAGAATTTCCTGGTCTCCTAGGTTGTTTGGGAAGAGGGTTCATGGATCACAGATCTCAGAAGAACCAGAAAGAGGCGTGATCCTGGGTGCCCAGCCCCCTCTACCTTGGCTGCCCCACATTTTCCAACCCCCATCCCTGCCTCTGGTCCATTGCTAGCCTTCCTCCTGATGACTTTGTTTTTCCATCCCAGGACAATGCCCTGGGGCAATTTCCCTGCAGAGAAGGGGCAGTTGTTTCGACTACCATCTGCACTTAACAGGTGATGGCCCTCGCCTTCTTTAGGCCACATCTCTTCTTCTCTGTAGTTTCTGGGGCCCTACTCCCTCACCCCACCCTGTCGCAGCCCAGCTAGTGTTTTCCCCGACTGGGCAGGGCATGAGGACCAGGAAGCCTGTCAGTGCTGTCAGCTCATCTCTGTTCCCCCAACAGGACAAGCTCTGACTCTGCCCTTCACACAAGCGTGATGAACCCCAGCCCTCAGGACACTTACCCAGGCCCTGCCCCTCCCAGCGTCCTGCCCAGCCGCCGTGGAGGTAAGTGGCCACGTCCCAGGGTCCCGGGTAGCCATGGTGCCTTTGTTGGAAGCAGGTAGGCAGGTGGGCATAGCAGCCAACTCCACTGCCTCCTTTGCAGGTTTTCTGGATGGTGAAATGGACTCCAAAGGTATGTGTTTGTCAGCACGTTCAGCAGGTGGGAGCTGCATGCCAGGGAACTTCTGGGCCGGCGCTGGGGGCTTAGTGCAGGGCCATGGAGTGGGACTCCCTCCTGCCTGCCTCTGCTCCCTGACCTGCCTTACTGGCTTCTCCAGCCCTCTCATCACCACTCTTTCTCTTTCAAGTCCCTGCTATTGAGGAGAACTTGCTAGATGACAAGCATTTGCTGAAGCCATGGGATGCTAAGAAGGTAGGCGTGGCCCGTGGTCCCTCCTCTTTCCATGGGGCAAGTCTTCAGGGTCTGCCACTGAGCCCTGTCCTCATTTGCCACGTGCTTCCCTCTTCTCAGCTGTCCTCTTCCTCCTCCCGACCCCGGTCCTGTGAAGTCCCTGGAATTAAGTAAGTACCTCTGTGAAGTTGGCTGACGGGTAGGGGAGGAAAGTAACAGGAAATGTGGGCGGCTGATCTCCGCTCTTCCCTGTCCACTGCCCCCTCCCACTTACAACTTGTCCTCTCCTTTCCCAGCATCTTTCCGTCTCCTGACCAGCCTGCCACTGTGCCTGTCCTCCCACCTGCCATGAACACGGGAGGCTCCCTACCTGACCTCACCAACCTGCACTTTCCCCCACCGCTGCCCATCCCTCTGGACCCAGAGGAGACAGCCTACCCCAACTTGAGTGGGGGCAACAGTACCTCCAACTTGACCCACACCATGACCCACCTGGGCATCAGTGGGGGCCTGGGCCTGGGCCCAGGCTATGATGCGCCAGGTGAGTGGCTGTCCTAGCGAGGTATCCATGGGGTGCTGTCTGGCTGGAGGGACAAAAGGGTGGGAGGCTTGAGCACCTGGGATCCTCCTGTGACTGTCCACACCAGCCCCTCACCTGTCCAACCCAGGATTCCCTCCCTGCAGTTTTCTGCCAGGGAGAACTGGTAGGTGTGGCTTCTCCTAGAAAGAAGATGGAGAGCAACTCCCAAGCGGGCAATGCCAACCTCACTGTCAGGGACAGAGTAGGGAGGACATTGTGTTGCCACTTCCATAGTCTGGTCACTGCTCCTCATTCTGGGCAGAAACGGGCCCAGTTCCCATCAGTAATGTTGGCATCTCTGGTTTTTTTGTCTGTCCCTACAGGACTTCATTCACCTCTCAGCCACCCATCCTTGCAGTCCTCCCTAAGCAATCCCAACCTCCAGGCTTCCCTGAGCAGTCCTCAGCCCCAGCTCCAGGGCTCCCACAGTCACCCCTCACTGCCTGCCTCCTCCTTGGCCCGCCATGCACTGCCCACCACCTCCCTGGGTCACCCTTCACTCAGTGCCCCAGCCCTCTCCTCCTCCTCCTCCTCTTCCGCTCCATCTCCTGTGCTGGGTGCCCCCCCTTTCCCAGCTTCTACCCCTGGGGCCTCCCCCCGCCACCGCCGTGTGCCCCTCAGCCCCCTGAGTTTGCCCGCGGGCCCAGCCGACGCCAGAAGGTCCCAACAGCAACTGCCCAAACAGTTTTCGCCAACAGTGTCACCCACCTTGTCTTCCATCACTCAGGTATGCGTGGCTGCCTTCCCTACGTGTCTGTGTCCCTTCCCCTTCTCTTCTGCCAACTTCTCTCCCTCCCACCCGGCTTTTCTCAAATCCCTCTTCTCTTTACTTCCCATGTTCCTGGTGTCATCCATTCCCTTCCATTCCTCTGTCCTCTTCCTGCCCCACCTTTCATCTTGTTTCCTCCTGGCTTTAGAGTACAAACCCTGGGGTTAAGCTTTCTGATGTTAAATCCTCGCCCCGCCTCTTACTAGCAGTCTCCTTGGCTAGTTATTTAACTTTTACGAGCCTCGGCGTCCTCATCTAGAAAACAAGGCCGGTATTGTCAGAACTGAAGGAAGTGAAGTTCTTAGCCCTGTACCTAGCCTGGTCGCACGCTCAGCAGATGGTAGCCTGTCCTTTCCCTTTTCTCCCTTTTTATTTCCTGTCCTTCTTTTCTTGTCTGTTTTTCCCTCCTGCCTCCTTCCTGTCCCATCTCCTCTCCATCTCCCCTCCTTCTTTCCTAGATTTCAGAGAGTTAGAGACTGTCAGATTGTGGAGCCCAATCCCTTCATTTTACAGACAAGGAGGTTGGGGCACAAAGGGAAAGTGACTTTCCCAAGTTTATACAGCACGTTAAGAACAGTTGGAACCAGAATTAAAGCTTCTTAGTTTAGCATTTTTTCTTCAATGTTCAAATCCTTAGCTCTTCCCTCCGTCCCCATCCTTCTCTGTTTTGCTCTTTCTGCTCCCCACTCCTTCTACCCTAATGCTCTCATTCCCTCTCCTCTGCCCTACTCTCCTCTCCTTCTCTGTTGTTCGTTCTTCCCTGGAATGTGTGTTCTGTGTTCCATCTTTACACAGGTCCCCTTTCCTGTAGGAAAGACTAAGGCCAGGCCAGCAAGGGCTTTGCTCTCTTGGAGCGAGGTTCACGCCCCTTCTCCTTCCCTCCTTTTCCCCTCCTTCCTCTCCAGCTCCCTCTGGCCTCTTCAAGACTTTAGAACAGTAGTTCTCAAGATCACTTTTGTGTGATCAGTCGCTTGTGAGTTGTCACAAGTGGTTGATTACTAGCAGTAGTTGATGTACCAAGGTTTAGGAACAGTTTACTCCTGGAGTGGATTCCAAATTATTCTTGTGTTAGCCTCACTCAGTCTCTTTCATTCTGAGATGCATTTTTGAGTAATCGCACCCCAGGGATGCCCAATGGAATGCTGTCAGGTTTGTGTTGAGCTTAAGAGGCTGGGAAGCCCTGATAAAGACTTCCTTTTAGGGAGCGCACTGAGGGCTAAGCCCCCCCTTTTCCTTGCTTCTCTTTAGGGCGTCCCCCTGGACACCAGTAAGCTGCCCACTGACCAGCGACTGCCTCCATACCCATACAGCCCCCCAAGTTTGGTTCTGCCCACCCAGCCACCCACCCCAAAGCCTCTACAGCAGCCAGGTCTGCCCTCCCAGGCCTGCTCAGTGCAGCCGTCAGGTGGGCAGCCCCCGGGCAGACAGCTGCATTACGGGACACTGTACCCACCCAGCTCCAGCGGGCATGGGCAGCAGTCTTACCACCGGCCGATGAGTGACTTCAGCCTAGGGAGTGTGAGTACCCAGGTCCCTATCTTGGAAGCAGGGGAGGGGATGGGGGTGGGTCAGAAGAGCCTGAGTGGTATCTCAAGGATGCCCTGAATTGGGAGATCTAAGTGGAGGAGATCCTCCCCCCCCACCCCCTAACAGAGTACTGCCAACTTGGGGTTCCCCTCTTCCTGCATTTGACCCCACTCCTGCTCCTCTCCCCAGCTATCTCTGCGCAGCTTGCTCTTTGGTGACTACTGCTTTGACCTGTTGTCTTCCTGGCACGCACATGCTCTGTCCCAGTAGGTACGGTGCCCACACCTACTTTGGGCCCCGTGCTCACTTGCGTCGCTCTGCTTGCTGCCATCTCCCTCTGTCTCTGCTTTTGTTCCCGAGGTGGGGTGGTGGGGGGAGGGGTGTGCAGATTAGTGGGCATAGGGGATGCATTAGCAGGGCTCGGCCAAGGCAGGCAGGAACACCCTGTTCTGAAGCCTGCTTCCTCAAGGTCTGTCTGTGTGTCCATAGCTGGAGCAGTTCAGCGTGGAGAACCCATCCACCAGCCTGGCGCTGGATCCCTCCAGCTTTTCCGAAGGGCCTGGATTTTTAGGGGGTGAGGGGCCAGTGAGTGGCCCCCAGGACCCCCATGCCCTCAACCACCAGAACTTAACCCACTGTTCCCGCCATGGCTCAGGGCCTAACATCATCCTCACAGGTAAGAGGGGAGGATGGTGACAGGGGCAGGAGGGCGGTGGTGGAAGGAGGGTGTGATACATTGGTTGGCGCAGCAGGGGACTGAGGGGGTCTTGGAAGAGTTCAGTGGGTGTAGGGTCCTCACTCATCTCTTCTGCCCACACAGGCGACTCCTCCCCCGGTTTCTCTAAGGAGATTGCAGCGGCCCTGGCTGGAGTGCCTGGCTTTGAGGTGTCAGCGGCTGAGCTGGGGCTGGGGCTGGAGGAGGAGCTGCGCATGGAGCCACTGGGCCTGGAGGGGCTCAACATGCTCAGCGACCCCTGTGCCCTGCTGCCCGACCCTGCTGTGGAGGACTCGTTCCGCAGTGACCGGCTGCAGTGAGGGCTCCTCATCGCCATGCCTCTTCTGGGGCCTGTCCCCCGTCACTGTCCTGTTCCTCCCTTCCCCCTGGCCAGTAGAGACTCCACTCTCTGCCCCCAGATCCTCTTTCTAACATGAATGAGGGATCCCAAGAATGAGAAAAAGCAAGGGGTTTGTCCAGGTGGCCCCTGAGTTCTGCACAGGGGGCGGGCCTGGGGGAGCTCAAGGGAGGGCCTAAAGCACTTGTAACTTTGAACCGTCTGTCTGGAGGTCAGAGCCTGTTGGAAAGCAGGGGGCATAGGGGAACCCCGGAGGCAGGGCTTGTCCGGATGCCTGGGGTGGGCAGTGCCAGCCCCTCCTCACCACTCTTCCCCTTGCAGTGGAGGAGAGAGCCAGAGTGGATATTATTTTTTATTAAATATATTATATGTTAATAAAAAAATCATTATCAAACCCTTGGTGTGGTTGGGGGAGTTCTTGGGGCACGGGACCCTTTTATCTGTTAAGTTTTGGGCATCTTCTCAACATGTGGTTTGTGGAGGGGCCTCCAGCCTCAGAATTTGTACTCAGCATTGGACATGGGGGTCCGGGCTGGGTGTAGCCTCCTTTAGCAGCACACGTGCCCTCTCATCTGCCCAGGGCTTTGCTGTGGCATCAGGTGATGGGGCTTTGACTGGCGAGGAAAGCTACTGCCCTTCTTCAACGCTGAGGCCTGGCAGTGAGTCGGGAGGTGAGGAGCAACTGCTGGCTGAGCTCTTGGCTCTGGATGTTTCTGGTGGTAGAATGACCCCAGCTTTCCCCAGGGTAGCTGGCCTCAGTGTTAAGGCTCCCAAAGAGAAGATTTAAAAACTGCTGATGCCGAGTAGGCACCAGGTTGGCTCCCTCTTTATGGCCTTTAAGCCTAGAGGGCCTGGAAGTTACATCTACCTGGCCAGCCTCTGACCCGGTTCTCCTAAGGCTCATTCCTGACCCCTTGCTATGTGTGAATTCACTTCACCCTCCCCCATCCTCTCCACTCATTGATTCACAGATGCTTGAGCACTAACCTTGTTCTGATAGTTTCCTCTTCCTGGCTTGGGTTGCTAGCCCTCTGACCAGCTGAGCTTCTGCCCTCTTCTCTTCCCCACACAGCACAGTCAGAAGAGTAGTGCCCTTCCTCAGTTACCCCCATCTCTGCTGCTCTTCCACACCCTACAGTCCTGGCCTCTGCTCTTCCTCTTTCCAAAGCTGTTGTCATTTTCAGAAAAGAGAACTGAGAGCTTCTGGCTAAGGCTAGAAGGGAATGCAGTGTACCCTAAATCTGAAAGTAGGGGGAGCTACCAGGGTTTCTGCAAACCAGGTTTTCAGGGTATTCCCCCTGGCAGGCAAGCCACATCTGACTAGGACCCAGGGCGGGATGGGAGCGAACCTCGGACTTCAGGGGCCGCCTGGGGTCAGTGTCCTGCGGCAATGGCCGAGTGGTGGGAAGCCGCCTGGGTGCAAGGGGCCCTCCCAGCCGCCAGGGGTCGCGCTGCAGGCGGCTGGGCGCTGGGCAGGCGCTGCCAGGGTCACGGCCGCCGGCCGGGGAGAGGGGGTTGGGGGGAGCGGCGGCGCCCGCGGCCCGGT